CAAGAATAGTTTTCTCCAGGTCAATTTCCAAGGCAGGTGATTTCCACCCAAAGTGAACTATCAACTAAGAAGGCATTTTTTGAGTTAAAGTATGGATATTCACTGTAAGGAAATAAGAGCACATACATTTGAAGTCTTAAAAAAGATGAAAATTAAAAGAAAACCATTATTTTTTCAAATTCCCCAGGTGTAGGGAAGACAATCTAGGGGGGTGCAGGGTGGCTGTCAGCTGTGTACTCTAGATTGGCTCTTTAATTTCAGCAGGCAAAACTCTCCAATTGTAAGAGAAGCCATTAAAAGTCCAAGAAGATTTTTAAAAATTTATTTAAAGACAGACAGCTACGAAGAAAGCTTGGGGGAGAAGAGGATATTCACATCGCATTGGATCAATTTTCTATCTGCAGGACTAAACTACTCTCAGTCATTACCAGCCTGGGATGGGAAGGATTTAGCAACATAGCTATTAAAGGCTCCATTATCCCATCTATCAGTCCTCTCAGCCAGCAAGTCTCCTTGTGGGCAGTACTCAAGTGTCTGCAAAGTTTGAACAGCATACTATACTTATGTCTGCAGCCTGCAATTTAATTCTTTTAAAAGCAACACTAAGTCCTGTCCCTTTCTAAGCTCTGTGATAATAACCCTAACCTTGGCTACTGTTCCATTAACTTAGGAAAGATTTAAAGCAACTTGCTGCTTTACTTATGTTGCACCTGGCACTACATGAGGAAGAAGGTTTTTTTTTTTTCTTTTCTTTTCTTCTTTTTTCTTCTGATTCTTCTCTTACTCAACTTGGGAGAGAATTCAGTTCATTTATGAAGCTAAGGAAATTTTCTGGGCCTCTGCTCCTCTAAAGACCTTTTGTGCCACAAAACAGCTCCCTCAGGCCTAAACATCATTTTGAACAAAAGCCCAGAAACAGGTGCATTCCACAGAGTTTAGAGAGAATATTTTGAAAATGGTTGAATTGAAAAGAGCTCCTCGGATGAATTTTCTGCAGTATCTCTCTCTGTATATTAAGTAATCGGCTTGGATATTTTTCTATATGACACATCTGGTTGCACTTTGTGTGTGGGCATTTCTAACAAGCATGGCAAATTCAACTAATATGGTTTAAGCTGTACACAGTTTGAAGATGAGCATGTGGTTCCTTAAAACTAAAATGATTCTCACTCTTTCCAAATATAGTGACCTGTCAAGGTCAAAACAAATATGGGAAAAGAAAAAAGACTCCAAGATACTCAAAGCTCAGTTTGTAAAACACGTAATAAATACCATATACTAAGCTGCATTTTGAATAAGCAAGTAGCTCCTATTAGAGTAACAATGAGAATTGGTATGAAAATTAATACACTAAGTAGAATTATAGTCGCTTGAAGTTCATTTATATGACAAGTAAAATGGAGAGTATACTACAAAATCCCAATTGTTTGAAAATAAAATGAATAAATAAAAAGAAAGACCAACTTCTGACCCCACAATTTAGGAAATTATTCCATTCCTAAAGTAATCAGCCTGTCATCCAAATAACTGCCTTCTCATTAACTACAGGAAGTGATAACTACAAGCCAAATTGCCTGTTTAAAGTTGCTATGGCATTTTGCTATACAATAATTTGGCTCATGACTTTCAATAGTGGCATTTCTAAATCCATAAGATTTTGTCAAACATTTTTCTTAATATGATTGTTCATATTAAGTAGATAATATAGAAACATATTTATAGTCCTCATTCAAACAAATAAAGGAACCAAAATGAATATCAAATCTTTTCCACCTCTCCCAGTAAAAAACATCTAGAGTTAAGAGTAGGAAATGCTTTTTTAGCCTAAAACAAACTTGGAGGTGAAGCATGTGGATACAATGTCACCAACCAGAAATAAATCCAATTCATCTTGGTTCCCAAACAGACCTTTCTCTATTTCTCAAAGTTATCCATTTAAAATTTATTCCAACAAGCCCATCAGCAGATGAATGGATAGAAAAACTGTGGTACATTTACACAATGAAATACTACTCAGTGGTAAAAAAGAGGGAACTCTTACCATTTGCCACAGCATGGATGGACATGGAGAGTATTAGGCTAAGCAAGATAAGTCAGAGAAAGATAAGTACCATGTGATTTCATTCATATATGGAATCTAATGAACAACATAAACTATGAATAAAATAGATCTAGAGACATGAACCAGGAACAGATGAATTTCAGAGAGAAGGTTGGGGAGCAGGGAGGGCTGGAGGGGAGAAATTAACAGGATACTTATGTGCAAACATGCATGGCCCACAGACATAGACGATAGGTTGGCAAAGGCTTGGGAGGAGTGGTGCAGAGTGACGGCATTAAAGGGGAAAAAGAATCACAAAGCAGACATCTGTAATACTTTCAACTATAAAGATAGATTTTTAAAAATAAAGTAATTGTTCATATATATGTAAAAAGATAAAGCAGCTGAAGAAAGAAAAAAATACATTCTAACTTCAAAGAGGTGTTATTTCAGGTCTCCCGAACTACCCACAACTGAATGCTCTGTGCTTAAAAGTCTGTGCATAACCTTATCACAAATTGAACTAAAAGTTCTAAAGGCATTCTTTTTTCTCATCTTTTTGTTTCAGCACCAAACCCAATGACTAGAACAAGTTGTCCTGTACTCATTACTCTTTTCAAATATACACAGTTAAAGATGTCTTTGAGAAAATATTCACAGGTAAGGATGTTTACCAAATATCACAAAAGAACACTGCTTTAAGAAACCTAGTAAAAGTAGATTGAGTCAATTATGCCAAACTACATAAATAGATTAAAAAATTCTACATTGTTACATGAAAATGACTCAATTTACTTGATCAGCTATAAAAATAAACTATATAAACTTTATTTAAAATTCCATTAATAGTAATCTTGTTGCAGAGAATAACTACAGATTTTCTTAGATATTAAATCTGCTGGACTTTTCCCATAACATCCCAAAGTTGGGTTGGGGTTGATTTCAGGAGTTTTTACTAGTGGATGCTGGCCTCATATTGACAACTGCCTGTTCTAAGGCTCCATATTCTGCACCTGAATTACACCAAAGTCCTTCACACTAGTAATGGTGTTCTCATTGTTTGGTCTTCTCCTTGCATTCACAAAATTCATCTTCCACCAACTCCAATTTGATCAGTAAATCCCATGATAAAAAACCTTTATAGCTTTCTGGCCTTGTGTAAGAGCATATTGAGGGTGCTGGGTTTTAGGACAAAAGAGAGATGATCGAAATTCTACAGCAGTGCTTCTCAAAGTTAAACATGTTTCAGAAGGACTTGGAGGGCTTATTAAAATACAGATTGCTGGGCCCCACTCATAGAGGTACAGATCTAGTAGATCTGAGACAGAATAAGAAGGTACATTTCTAACAAGCTCCCACATCAGGAAAGGTGCTGGTCTGTGGACCACACTTGGAGAAACTCTACTTTCATCTTCTTTACTTTACATGCTCAGTTTCCCCTTAAGTATTCATTCAAACAAAGGGTTTATTTAATAACAAACAGCCAGTCATCTACTCTAACTCTCTGAGTCTACAAATAAGAAAACTGGTGCCTGGAGAACCAGATCACCTGGTTAGTGGGAGAGTGTTCTGTCCATCATCTTCAAACCTTCAATCTCACATTAAAGGCTCCCAATATATTTCTACTTTTCTTTCTTCTTTTCTATATCACCAATCTCTCAGTTCTGTGTTAGCTGGGAACTTTTTTTATCCTTCCCCAAACAAAACAGATTTTTTTTTTTTTTTTTTACTTCAAGTCTTTCCTACCGCCATTCTTCTTTCTGCCCACCCCCCCCCCAAAAAAAAAAATCTACTGTAATTATATTCCCAACACTTTGAATTGAACTCATTAGCTTTTTTGACCCTACTATCTACATTAGGAATTCACACGCATGGAAGGCACCTCTTGGACCTCAACATCACATAGAATTGGGCCGCCTCCAAGATTCTGAACTCCTAATAATGGATTATCTTGATAATAGTCTCCTAGGTTTTATGATCCCTTGCCTCTGTCCTCTCTTGCTTTACCCTAGGCAATCAAGGTAATCCTTCCTTGAGCAGTACTTACCACCCTACTCAGACTGGATGACACTTCACCTGCATCCTCACCAGGGTTCTAGAGTGCTTGCCTCGACTTTCTGCCAAGTCTATCTTGCCAATCTCCTTCACAGAATTCCTAGTCCTCTAAGCATTGTTGGTTATGGTCACATTACTATGTTGATGGAACCTTAATAATACCCTCAGTTAGGTTTTCTTGCCTCAAGCAGACAATTTATTCATCCTCAAAGGACTTTTCCTCAAGCTTCCAAAGATATTCCTAAACCCCCATCTTGAACCCCCAACTCTGCTTCAATACCTCCCATTCCCATCATCTTTAAGGCAAAACACAAGATGGAAGCCCAAGACTGAAGAGTGTTTATTAGCATGCCACACTGTGTCTGTAGGCACTGAGAAGCTATTGAAAGTTTTACTTTAGAAAGATCACTCTAGTGGTCATGTGGAGGATGAATTAGAACAGGGTAGAAGCAGATAAATGAGAGGGATTCAGCAATTACACAAAGAGGCTGTGGAAGAATAAAGAAATAAGAATGACTAAACACTGTACTTTCATATAGTAAGCACACTACAATCATGCATAGTTGAGCTAATTTATTCTGACTCTGATTCTGAGGAAAATATATATAGAAAAACATTTACTGAACTTAAAAAATGCATAATTGAGACCAAGAATAGTTTTGCTATGCCTTGTCATAAGGCAAATGAAAGCTATTGTGCAATAGACAGATGGTGCAATGAGATGTAAAATGAAATTAGCAATGATGAAACCCACATGGAAATGAGGAGAAGGCTGATATGTTAAAAGTCAAAGGAATTTGGCTCCATATTGTCTCGCTTCATAAAAGTCTGAGGTCATAGTTTAGTGGCTGTTGTTGCAGAAAGTTGCAGGACTATCCATTGTGTCAAAGAACCAAATACTCACCCAGGGTTGTTCGAAGCTGTAAGTGCGTCGCCGATCTTCTACATCTTCATCCTGCTTTGCTTGCTGGAACTCCTGCCGCAGACGCTGTATCCGATCATGGTTGTTAGTAGATGACCTGTTGCTAAAAGAGAGAATGGGCAACAATGAACACCCTTCACAAATACAATCTGTGCCTTACAGCTACTAGGGAAAGGGGCATCTTGCTGGCAGATGACACTATTTAAGAGAAAGTGAATTTTAAAAACAGTATCTGGACATTTGAAATATGTTCTCATTTTAATTAAGACTTATTAAAGTGATTTCAGACAAATATTCAAGAGGGAGCGTAGTATTTTTAGACATTCCTTTTTCACAGGAATGTAAAAGCCTCATTTCCTTTCTGTAATCTGGCATGGTATCCTCAGAAAAACTTTTTGGGAAAATATTGCTTTAAAAGTCAGAAATATCAGGGTTCAGTCCTAGCCCCATCATCTTCTTAGACTAAGGCACTGATGCCTCTAAGTTGCAGTTTCTTTAAATATATGAAATGAACATAATAACCATGCTTTGCTCTAAATATCATGCTGTAAACAATCAAGTAAGATAATACCACACAATATAGTCTTACAGTATTATATCATAATGCTATTATATAAAGTTCCTACCTATGCATTATCAGAGGTCTATGCATAAAATGCAACTCTCAGAGCATAAATGAAAAGCATTTTTAAAAATAACTTCAGGTGCTAACTTGATGTAATCAGTTAGTTCATAATGATGTCGCCTTTTTTTTTTTTTTTGCATTGAATTTGACTATATTCTCACAAATGTTTATAACATAGGCTCAGAAGGCAGTATTACACCCCTACACATACACACACACCAATGTAAAAACTATCATTCAAAGAAGACAAGTGACTTTTTAAAAGCCTCCCATCTGCCCAAAGTAAGTAAGATAAGAATCCAGACTTTTCTGGGTTCTAGAGTCCAGTCTCCATCACACTATACCATGTGTCAGTTAGTAAAACACATATTATATTCTAAAACCCCCCTTTAGAAAATCATACAGATTTTAAAAACAGTATTTTGAAAGAGTAATAGAAATGACCAAATGTAAATCAATCTTAAACCTTCCGCCACTTTTGGTTGATCCCATTCCCTGAGCACCAAGCTGCATCCTGTCAGAAAAGCTATTCAAGCACACTAGGAATATTCTGCCTCCCAAGCAGACTTCAGCCCACGTCTTGTGTCTATCACATTTACCCTTTAAACTGCTGGCAGGACGGTGAGCAGTAAGTTATTAGGAAGATGAAGTCTCCTCATTGAAAACAGATTGCCCTGGATACTCAGTGTGCTACTGAGTTCCTTTGGCTGCACACACTCCTGAGTGATGGAATTTATGAGGTAGCTTGGAAAAATAAAAGTCTGCTATGGTAGACTATATACAATTCTCAAACCAACATGTCTGTATAATTCCACATATTTTGAAGAACTGCAAAGGCTTAAAAATCTGAAATTAAAAATGCTCACGTATAGGACCAAAGTCTTAATATCTTTCATGAATGCGGGATAGTCTGTCATCATTTAATCTACTGGGTTGGTCCCTATCATCGTTATGTTTTTATCAATTTCAATAGAGCTTCTGGAATATCTTGCTAATATACTCAATTTGATTATTTTTCCAGTCAATAAAAGGTTGTTTTTCTTCTGACAAATCTTTTGAATGATTAGCCTGAGAACATTAAAGGTGAATGGGTCTCTAAAATGTGCTATTTGACAACATGAGCCTTCAGCCATATTTATGTACAGCTTTAAAACTTGACCTTCACACTCTTGAGCCAGGCAGGTTACTTTTCCTTTGGCTTTTAAAACATTTGTTTGGACAGATAAATTATCAGAACTGGCTTCCCAATGCGATACTGAGTTTCTCTCCATGAAACTGTGATAGCGTAGGCATGAAAATTGTTTCACTCACAAAGAGATAGAAGAGTGAACATTCATTAATCTCATTGCCATCTTTCCAGCTACACTTTTTTATGTTCTGGGCATACTTCATAACATTTATAGCAGAATTGTAGGAGGCTTGACCAACAAATATCACTACAAACATGTTTCTATTATTTTCATGTAGCACAGACGGCTTTAATCCAATAATTACTAGATTCATGAAGTCCAAGCCATTGATGAAAATTGACTTCTAACTATTTGTGAATAATTGAAAGCATATCTCCCAACAGGAATTGACCTAGCATTCTTCATTTGAAATTTTGGCAACTTCAGTGTTTTTCACAGTATTAGATGAGTTTTGGAAATCACTTCACCCTTATTTCCAAATCTGAGCAGTTAGTGAGACCATTGTTGCACATTCTCTTCCTTTCTCCTATGCTCTAGAGAATGCCAACCAACTTGCCTAACACTAGGAAAGCCCCTCCAAGGGCTGAAATTGGAAAGCAGGCTGCAATGGCTTTCATGATTGATGAGGACTTCCAAAGGCTGGAAGGCCATTCAGCATCCTTGGGGAATAACATTGGCATCTGAAGGTAAAATCCTGGCTTCAAGAGATGAAACCATTGCAGCTGCTCAGTTCTGTTTCTCAGGCTCATCTATAATGATTCAATAATTCATACTTAGACTTCTAATGTTCTTGGTTAGCTCTTCTGCCAAGAAAGCCAAAGGAAATTTTAAATTTTCATTAGCATTGATGGCTACTCACCCCAACCAACTTATATTTGGATTCACTGACAACTTAAAATTGCTCATTATATTTTTGAGAAGACTAGAATAAATATACCACCTGAATCAATCTGATGGGTAAGTAAGACAATAAGAGTCAATGAGAAGTCAGTAAATCATCTATATATATCTAATAGTCTAATATGCAAATTGTCCCCTCGGGAGTTGGACTGGGAGACGAGAGTTTGATTGCTCATTCTGATGTGTGCTGACCACCAGGGGGCAGCACAAAATGAAGGAAGGCCCTGCCAAATAGCCATAGAAGGGAGGCCCCGCCAGGCAGCCGGAAGGCCCCAATCGGCCCTGATCACCAGCCAGGCCTAAGGAATCTTACCCGTGTACAAATTTTGTGCACCAGGCCTCTAGTAATTTTTTAATAATAGTTAACAGAAAGAAGTGGTGAGGACAATAAGACAATAGAGTCCAAACTAACACTTAGCCTCTCCATATAATTGGTACTTATAGCCTAACTAAAATTTAATTTTACACACACACACACACACACACACACACACACACCCCAAAAATGTATACATACTTTAACAGCTGATAGCTCAATTTTGAAAATGAAATGTCTTTTAAGTAACACTGCTTTTATAATTATTCAAAATGTGTATGCATTTTTGGGGACACCCTATATGTTAGCTAAGTAAAGAGGGTTAGTTTTAGTTGAGAATAGTCTGAGTTAAGAAAGGGTACACTGGCCGAAACCGGTTTGGCTCAGAGGTAGAGCGTTGGTCTGCGGACTGAAAGGTCCTGGGTTCGATTCCGGTCAAGGGCATGTACCTTGGTTGCGGGCACATCCCCAGTAGGGGGTGTGCAAGAGGCAACTGGTCGATGTTTCTCTCTCATCAACGTTTCTAGCTCTCTATTCCTCTCTCCTCCTCTCTGAAAAAATCAATAAAATATATTAAAAAAAAAAAAAACCACACACACACACACACAAAAAGAAAGGGTACACTGGATCACACACTATGGAGATTCCTAACCTGGCATGCATGTCAACACCCTGAAATATATGGAACTCTAATCTTTCCCATCTATAACTGCCAGGGGATGTGTCCTCTCCAGTCAGAGGCAGACTGCACAGTGTACTAGGCTTTATAACCTTCAGATTGGCCTATGCAATGTGCTTCACAAAAGGGGCTGGACAATTCCTGCCAGCTGCAGCCATGGTACCTGTCCTGTACCTGTGCTCCACAGATGGCAAACCAACCATCTCCTTACGAAGAGTGAATGGGAAAAAATTTATGGCAATGGTCCCCATGTTCACACATTATATGAGAGCCGTCCTGAGGGCTAGTTAAAAAATGCTGACTCACTGAGATTGCCCTGGATATTTTCCAACTCAGTAAGTCCTGTGCAGGGCCCAGGAATCTGCATATATTCAAAAGCACTGGAGGTGCCATGTGGTGAATTTTTTGAAAACAATGCCCACAGGCTTCAGAGTCGGGACAAATTCCAGTGCTTGCAGGTCATTAACCAAAGAGTGAAGGAGACCCCACTGGAAGCACAGTGTGTATTCTGTGACAAATGGGAGTAATAAGCTTGGTCTAGAAGGGAGGCTCTTACTTGGTTCTAGTAAGTTGTTGCCTTGAAGGTCTGATGATGGCTTTGCTTCTAATTTTTTTTTTTTTTAAAGTCAGAACTACAGTTTTTGCCCAAAATTTTAAATGTTGGCTTTTTTAAAGATGCTAGATGAGCCACTCCCCAGAAATGTCTGTTGTGTAGTATCTTGCAACTTCTACTTTTTATTCTGCAGCTGCTGCTGACTTTATAGTTGCTTTTCTAGGCAATTTACTTTTACTGCATCAAGACAAGGCCAGTGGTCCCCTGGTCCCAGTCCCAGAAAGCAAATGCTAAAACAATGGGCATTGTACAGATAGTCTTGCCTCTTGTGAAGTGTCTGCTCCCTCTTATCTGTCAAACCCTGATAACACTGAGTGCCTGCAGGCTTGAGTTCTGGCCTATCTTTACAGACCTGCATGTGCTGAGAAAGAAGAGTTTGTGATGTGACTGATACTTTATGGAGTAAGAGCACATTCAAATTTACATTTTTAATTAGGCAAAGGAAATCTGAAAAATTGGACTAAAGGGCACAGCTTTAAGATTCAGAATTCAATGGAAGGAAAAACAACCACGTAGTTTTTTAAAAGGGGAGGTACCATCTTAGTATACATTCTCCTTCCCATGGAAGAAAAAAAGGGTGAGGGAAACAGAGGGAGGAAATAAATCTTGGCAGGCTACCCATGGTCCTCATAGAGGGAGATAATTATAATCTCTATCATAAAAGAAGATAAATTACCAATGAAAAGGGTAAGATGAATTTGCTTATCTCTTAATAACCTCCACCTTTCTTTTCATTTTTATAATTCTACTAGTAAATCTAAGAAATCAAATTCCACTTCC